GATCAACATCTCCCCAGGATAGAAGAACAACGAAACACAGATGGATGGACTTGAGTTTTTAATGACAGTGTTTATTTCTTGTATCTATGGGACACTTATATGTCTCCAGCTATATGCCACCATTGAAGGCAAACACAAGGCAAAGAAGACAGAAGTTTAGTCAAAGGTGTTACCTTCAGACTCTCAAGATTCCGTTAATGTAGCCTTACAATAAGGTCGAATTAGCCCATTTAGTCGTATTTCCTGTCTCGTTTCCCTTGGAGGACTGACACAATGTCTGCAGGTTGTTGGAATTGTGTGTGTGTGTGTGTGTGTGTGTGTGTGTGTGTGTGTGTGTGTGAAGCCTCCCAGGTAAACAGACAGGAAACGTGCCTAAAAGTGCTAATTCGACCTTATTTTAAGGCTACATTAACAGAACCTTGAAAGTCTGAAAGTAGCCCTTTTGACTGAATTTCTATCTTCTTTATCTTATGTTTCCTTAAATGGGTGGCATATAAATGTCCCATAGATAGAATGTATGTATATGTTTATTTATTGTATTTTGCTTGTCGTATTCTGTTTTTAATTGTATAATTGATTTTATGATTGTTTGCTACCCATTGTCCCTTGTTTGACATGGGCCCCTCTACAAATTGGATAAATAAATAAGTATACTTTGAATATTTTTCCTTCACTTGTTTTCCTTGCTCTTTTTTTTAATTTCATTATTTTTTTAAATCTGTATTTGTATTTTGGTTATTTCATTTCCAAATATAAATAAAGGTACAATATAAGTCTGTCTTTTGTGGAAAATTCTTTATTGCATCCATCAAAACCTTGAGTATAACTGAACTGAAGTTTTAAACAGTCAGGGAAAATAAGCCCATGGATTCGTTGATAAATGTTACTTTTTTTTAAAGTAATGTCTTAATAACCCTAAGGAATGTTTTATAAAAAGTTGTAAAGACCCCCAAAAACAAACATTTGTTGATTTGTTTGTTTTCAAAGCTTTCTATGTATATCTATCCCCCAAAAGAATAAGATGATAATAAACCTAAAGAATGCTTTAGGTTTATTATTAAGCCTCCTATACTACAACCTCTTACAATAGTAGACAACACAGTATCAACAATAGAGACCTTCAAGTTTCTAGGTTCCATCATATCGCAAGACTTAAAATGGACACCTAACATCAAAAAAGTCATCGAAAAAGCACAACAAAGAATGTTCTTTTTGCGCCAACTCAGAAAGCTTAGACTGCCCAAGGAGCTGCTGATCCCGTTCTACAGAGGAAGTATGGAGTCTGTCATCTGCACCTCTATAACTGTCTGGTTTGACTCTGTGACCAAACAAGACAGACACAGACTTCAACGGAGAATTAGAAGTGAGCAAAAACAATTGCTATCAGGCTGCCTTCCATTGAGCACCTGTATACTGCACGAGTCAAAAAGAGGACTGTGAAAATATCTACAGACTCCTCACATCATGGGCATAAATTGTTTCATCTTCTACCCTCAAAAGGATGTTATAGGGCATTGCAGACCAGAGAAACTAGACACAAGGACATTTTCCACCCCACCCCAACCCCCACATGCCATCACTCTGCTAAACAACTTGTTGGAAGAAATATCCATCTGGTTCAGTTCCAAGTGGGGAGAAAGACACTGGAAACACGGAGGCTGTTTGGAAAGATGGTTTATAGATGAAGCAGAACCACTTGTGATTCTGGGCAGCTGACAAAATGGAGTTGGGAGTAGGTGGGGTTTTATATCTTCTTTGAGCTTTGTATTTGAGCTTCCTGTTCCTGTGCAAGAACATGTCCTTTAATTTTCTATTGGCTGTTGTCAGATTCCTATGGGGTCATGTAGGGGTTATGTTGGGGTCATAGCTGGCTCTATAGGCAAAAGAGGAACTGCAAATCTTAGGTGCTTGTCTGAGCTAATCTGGTCAACCTCTGGCTTATTGTTTATCTGAGCTCCCAGGTGAAGATTGGACTGCTCTGAGATGGTGCAATGAAGGGACTTGTCTTCTGAAAGGGTGTTGGGGAATTCCTATTGTGCCTAATGACTTTTGTCCTGTGTTGGATCTTGGGTGAGGAGCTGCTTCTAATCCTATCACTCTGCCTTTGTTAGCTGTCAAACTTTGCTGCAAGGAGTTTTGAAATATTCTGTCTCAAATAAATTTGTGCCTGCAGTAATTGCTTTGCTTATGAATAGAGGCATCTAAATAGTTGGGTTGTTCTTTCAATAAGCTGTAAAGTACTGGCATCTGCTGTGGGCCATTAAGAAAGACTTGGGGGGCTGCTTCTTGCCTCTAATAAACATGTTTCTCCATTTCTCATTTAGGGAAATATAAAATTCTGCCTTTTTAATATTCCCGAAAATATTTCATTCTTCTTGGTTGGGGGGGTAGGTGCTAATTCCCACAACACTGTTAAACTATTTATTAAAGCTGTATTTTTATTATTGTTGTTGTTGTTGTTGTTGTTGTTGTTATTATTATTATTATTATTATTATTTATTGGTTAATCTTTAGTGAGATTCACAGCCTTTGAGGCTGGTTAATAGCTCAGCAGCTCGAGTCCTAACCAAGGACCTACGAACTGTTAAGGTATCGTCGGAGGATGTAAGCTGTTCCGAGTAAGGTGGTTTTTTGTAGAGTCAAAATGTTCAAGTCCGGCAAATTTAGAATTTCTAAATATTATTATTATTATTATTATTATTATTATTATTATTATTATTATTATTATTATTCTCATCTTTCTTATTACCAATCTTCTTTTCTACTTACGACTATGACTTTGTAGTTTGTATCTTTCCGATTTATATTGGTTTATTTAGTTTCCTAGTATGATTTATGTTGATTGCTTATTTTGTATCCTATGACTATCACTAAGTGTTGTATCTTACAATTTATGAGAAATGCATTTTTCTGATGTCTATGATGATGATTTATCACTTATAGCTTTTATGTTCACTAAGAACTTATGTACCGAAGACAAATTCCTTGTGTATCCAATCACACTTAGCCAATAAAGAATTCTATTCTATTCTATTCTATTCTATTCTATTCTATTCTATTCTATTCTATTCTATTCTATTCTATTCTATTCTATTCTATTCTATTCTATCCTATCCTATCCTATCCTATTCTATTCTATTCAGATAAAAGACAGAGAAAGACCATTTAGAGCAGGAAGTTAAAGGCAAGGAAAGTGTTGAAGGAAGGTGCTAAGACTGAAGGTAGAGTCCCCAAAATTAGACCAGATACAGGTCCTCATCCATCCTCTGTGAATGTGGTTCACAAATAGTCTAAAAATGGTGAGAGAGTAAGTGGCGAGGGTGGGGGGAAGAGACGAAAGAAATGATTGGGAATAAGAGCCAAAAAAGAATACACAGAATAACACAAAATACACAGAATAAGATAGTTGGTGTTTCCATGTTGGGAACTTGATTTTGTAGGAAAGGTAAAAACAAAAGTTTTAAGACAAATAACTTCTTTTTCAATGTGGTAGATGTAATAATATTACCAAATGCCTAGATTAGAATTAACAACTATTATTCTCTGTGATTCCCAATATGATTGGGGGGGGGGGAGAGAAAAAGAAAAGATTGTAAAACGGGGCAAAATGGAAGCATTTACATATCCAAATCTGGTGAAGTTTGAAAAAATAGTCACATATAAAGACATTTTTGACACTGAAGGGAAATTAAAATCTAAGCAAGAATTGGAAGTTGAGGGTATTAAATTATCATGGTGGCTTCAATTGCAAAAACAATCTAGATATGATAAAGACATGAAAATGTACAGCCTTTATAAAGGACAGACAGCCTTCAATCAGATATTGTTGAATTCTGATGAAAAACTAATTAAGAAAATATCTAATTTTTTTACTAAATCGGAAAATGGAGGATGAACAAGTAAAAGACAAAATGATGCACTGGGCAAAAAACTTTAGACATAATATAGAATAAGAGAAATGGCAAAACTTATCAGAAAGAAACAATCAATTAACAACGGCAACTTCTTCTAAGGAAAACTTATATAAAATGTTTTATAGATGGTATCTACCACCTGCTAAGTTAGTTATAATGTTTAAAAATATGTCTAACAAATATTGGAAATGTAACCAAAAGACAGGCACATATTACCACATATGGTGGACCTGTGTTAAAGAAAAAAAAAAAAAGAGGGCAAAAATATATAAGTGGGTAGAAAAGATGATAGGAAAACATGTAGATTTTAAACCTGAACTTTTTCTATTAGGTATAACACCAGAAAAATTTGATAAATAAAAATTGTATTTAATATTGCATTATTAATAGCAGCAAGGATTATATTTGCCAAAACTAGAAAAATGAAGAAATACCACAAGACAAAAAAATAATTGGGAAGATACTGGATTGTGCAGAAATAGACAGACTTACATTGAAGATTAAACAAAAAGAAGATACAGAATATTATCAAAGAGGGAACTCATTCTACCAGTGGTTGGAAAAATGGGGTGGAGAATAAGAATGTAATTTGTACGGCTAAGGAAATAAAATCATCCAGACAACACAATGTTTATTAACCACTAACAAAACGTAAACAATAGAAAATCAACAAAACTTTAAAAAAAATAGATTGGCATGCAGAAAAAGGTATCTGCACCAAAGCAGATAGAACAGAGGGAGCTGACTCTAGACCCAGCAGAGTTCTCACACACACACACACACACACACACACACACACACACAAACACAAAAAGCTTGCAACACAACTGATTTTGACTGGAAGTTGACCAGAAGCTGCATGGGTGAGCCTTGCTTAGTCAGAGAGCTTAATGGAGCTCCTGTAGAAAAAGGCAGGCTACATACAAAGAGCTTTGGCTTCTGTAGCAAAAGGTGAGAAAGAGGCAGCTTGAGAGATTTGTTAGTAGGTTCCTAGAGATCTTTGGCTGCCAACAGTGTATGCAGAAAAGGTGGAGCAGATCCTTTGGTAGATCCCAAAGGAGGCCTTCAGCCCTCTGGGAATTCTATTGGCTGTAGGAGGTCATCCAGACATCCATACAGGGTCAAAGGTCACCAACTGCCAGTTGTCACTGAGCAGAGCCAAGATGTTTTCGAAGACGTAAGTAGGTCTTCAGAAGGGCTGCTCTAAAGAGCTTCTCCATGTCTTTTCTTGTTTGGGAGGTGGAAGGTTTGTCCATGAGCCTTTGCCCTGGGATGGGGAAATGGAGAGGGGGAAGGTAGAGAAGGGAAGGGAGGCCCTCAGGACTGGGCTCCTTCCCAGAGATTTACACAGAAGGAGCTTCTCTCTTTGTCCAGATGCTCCCTCTGTCCCAGACACAAAGCAGGTAGAGCAAGTGGAGTCTGGAAAAGGGGTTTTACTCCCTTCCATTCCTTTTCTTAGGTTCCTGAGATTTCGAAAATGTTGCAGAGAAATCTTCCAATGCTGTTGGGGGAGAATGAGAAGGAATGCCAGGCCAGCCAGTCCTTCAACCTCCACCTTGGAAGACGCAACAAATCTGTCTGGCCGAAGAAAAACGAAAATCACGATAGACATTGAGCTCCATAAAGTGGAGCAGCACGGTGAGTACACACTTTGGGTTGAAGGGGATGGAGAGGGAAAGGGAAGGAGCTCCTTTAGGAGTGGACTCCTCTCTGTAGGCCTCTAGAGAAGCCAATTCTGCCTCTTCCTATACTTGAGGTTGCACTTAGGGGCTGGGCAGAACCAAATTGCTCCTGCTCCTCATGAAGCTTCTGAATCCACATTAACTTTCCATAAGTTGTTCTGCTTCCATGAGACTCTTCTGGGAAACTTCACATTTGCTGAGTGGAGCCTATCTCTATCCTGGGAACTGGGGAGGGAGGATATAAAGAATGCAATAGGTCTTTCCCCTAAAAGCCTTTGAATTTGGTCTCCGAGGGAAGGATGCTGCAAAGGGCTGATTTTAGTGTCTTTCCTTCATCTGGAGGAGATCTAAAATTTTGCTCTGATTCCACCCTCTGTGTCTCCTTTCCCAGGTTTCCCTCCAAAGGACAGCCGAGGGAAAGAGAAGGTCCTCTTCGAGAGGAAGGACCTTTTCCAAGCAGCGCAATCAGAGCTGGCCTGTATAAGAAGAGACCAGGAAATAAGCCAATATTTGCGCCAAGTGGTCTCTGAGAGGAGGAGAGAGACGCAAATAGTAGGTACCCCTTGGAAGTAGAGGTTTCCTTCACTGGGCTTTGCCTCCGGGTTTCAAACCCACTCTTTTTTGGCCCAATCTTGTGCAATCTGTGGTAGTGTTCCTTCGAACTACCATGGAACTTCTGGACCCTTACCTTCAGAATGAAAACAAACTGGGGCAAAAGATTCCTTAGGATGGACAGAGTCTCAGAAGGGTTCAAGCTTTCCTTGTAAAAGGAAGCGCACTGGGGATTCTGGGAGAGTCCGTTGCCCTGACTGACAGCCGAACTCCTTTCAGTTGCACAGGAGCATCGCCTAATCCAGGTCCTCAGTGTGATCACTGCACTGTTTCACCTTAAGAAAAGTGTGCAAATGAGGGTCCCAGTGCCCGGAAATAAACATGTGATGGGGAGGGGGTGAGTTAAGAATGATGGAGAGATATGAGAGGGAAAGGGAGAGGAGGAAAGCTACTGCGAATTCTCAGAAAGTTTACCAAAAGCTCAAAAGGACCCTTAACAATTTTCCTTTGGACTGAAAGGTGAGCTGTTGCAGCAACATATCAGGTTAAAACAGGCTGGGACAAAGAAGATGTTCTGGAGCAACTTAGTTGAGCTTGACTTTTCTGATTGTCTCCTCTTTTGTTTCCTGGCAGGCTCTGTTGCAGGAGCACAGCTTTGTCAATGGATTAGCTGCATTGCTGGAAATGTATGATCTCAGGTCAGTCTATTGTTTCTTTTATAGTGGGTGAGAAAAGTCTTTTTGGGGTACTCAGTCATTAAGAAGGGGGAGGGCATTCAGTTGAGCCAGCTTATCCTATTCTTGTGGGAAAAATGGAACGGAGGCTTGCTCATTAATATGGGCACTAATGTCTCTTCCTTCTTTTAATCCCACAGCAAGATAACACCAGAAAGAGATGAACCAATAGAATCCATGCTGATGGACATTTCCAGTTTTTATTGGATGGCTACCCTGGATGCAGAGGAGGAAGATCTTTCTGAGGTACCACTTTAACCAACATTTCTGGGATTTCCTTCCTAGTGTTGCATGGATGGGAAAATGTTCTTCAAAAGAAAGAGCACCATCTCTTATGTTTCCTTTCAGGTGGAGAAGAAGTTGCTGGAGGAGGCCTTTGGCCTAACAATGAGGAACCTACTCCGACAATCTCCCACGACAGAACAGTTTGTTTTCATTCTGAAGGTAAGGGTCCAGAAGTTCCATGGTAGTTCGAAGGAACACTACCACAGATTGCACAAGTGTGTTTCGGCAGCAAGATTCTTGATTCTCAGAAATGAGAAAACATCTCTTTTCTTTGTCAATTCCACAGAACTTGGACCCACGTGGGAAACTCTTTTTGCCGGCGATAAACCAGCTCCTGTCCTGTGGAAACCATCATCCCAGGATAGATGTACGTAGCAAAATTAAATTAACATAAATTGTAGCCTTTGAGTCCCCACAGCTCTTGGGACCACACCCTCAAATAATCTCCCTCTTGGTGCCAGAGAGAGTGCAGGGGGGTCTTTTTCCTCTCATTCCACCTGAGGAAATTCTGGGAAGGATATCTTGCTAGTAATATGTGAGTGATGGGTCAAGGGAAGGAGAATTACTCTCCAAGAACCTTGGCAACACGGTGAGGCATTTCTTTTTCTTACAGCTCGATCAAGTCCAGCAGGCTTTCCCTGATGTTCCCAGGGAAATCTGGCAGGCTGGAACCACCTACGAAAACATCAATGAAGGTAACTTTCTTGAGAACACTAAGGGGAGGGGGGAGGGTTACTTATGACCTGTCCTCTTAGTTACGACAGTCACATCAACCGTACACTAATTTCATCACATTTCGAGTAGTTGGCAAGAAGTTCAAATTTACAATCCTTTGCAGCATCCAATGGTTACGTGATTGCAGTTTGAGATATTTTCATTGTTTTAAGACAAAAAAAAAAAAAAAAAGGAAGAAACCAGCCACTGGATAATCTGCATTTGGATTTACCACCACGTGATTCACTTAACAATTGTTGTAAAAACAATTGTGAAATAGAATCCGGTCATGTGGCAACTTGATTTAAAACTGTAATGACTGATCATGCAGTGTTTGATCTCCCTTGTTGTCATAAATTGAGGACAACTCCGATAGATCGAAAACCTGTATATGTTTTCCAGCTGTGTAGCAAACAGATCAAATTTCAACATCTGTTTCTTTCCATTTTCCTCACCTTTTATTTCCATGCAGGAGACCTAGAAATAGAGGAGTTGTGACCTCCACCCTTCGCCGTTGAGCCACCTATGAAGAAAAGCTACCATCTCAGGAAATGGCCCTTTGGTTCTTCCTTCTATAAATTGCATAAATTTTGTATAATAGTTGAATTTGATCTGTTAAAACTTCTGACTGTATAATAATTGTTGGTATCTGTGTTTGTAGATCACTGGAAGATCAGAACTCCCTCCTGCTGAAGGTTCCCTTGGGGTTTGGAAGATGGCACTGGGGCTGAAGATGCTGTGGAGCAGACGCCGACCATCATCGTTTTTAATATGCTGCAGCAGGTTGGTAGTATGCAGGGTTGGACTAAGAGATGGTTCCGTTTCTGCAAATGTGGGGTTTTGTTCTCTCAAGCCTATGGTTGATTCTGCTTTCTGCCCTGTGATTTGTCTCTTCTTAGGCTGGGTAGCAGCTTGGACAGAATTCCACGCAGTTCCTGTAACGGACCTGCTTGCTTGGACCATCACCCGGCTGGATCAACATCTCCCCAGGATAGAAGAACAACGAAACACAGATGGATGGACTTGAGTTTTTAATGACAGTGTTTATTTCTTGTATCTATGGGACACTTATATGTCTCCAGCTATATGCCACCATTGAAGGCAAACACAAGGCAAAGAAGACAGAAGTTTAGTCAAAGGTGCTACCTTCAGACTCTCAAGATTCCGTTAATGTAGCCTTACAATAAGGTCGAATTAGCCCATTTAGTCGTATTTCCTGTCTCGTTTCCCTTGGAGGACTGACACAATGTCTGCAGGTTGTTGGAATTGTGTGTGTGTGTGTGTGTGTGTGTGTGTGTGTGTGTGTGTGTGTGTGAAGCCTCCCAGGTAAACAGACAGGAAACGTGCCTAAAAGTGCTAATTCGACCTTATTTTAAGGCTACATTAACAGAACCTTGAAAGTCTGAAAGTAGCCCTTTTGACTGAATTTCTATCTTCTTTATCTTATGTTTCCTTAAATGGGTGGCATATAAATGTCCCATAGATAGAATGTATGTATATGTTTATTTATTGTATTTTGCTTGTCGTATTCTGTTTTTAATTGTATAATTGATTTTATGATTGTTTGCTACCCATTGTCCCTTGTTTGACATGGGCCCCTCTACAAATTGGATAAATAAATAAGTATACTTTGAATATTTTTCCTTCACTTGTTTTCCTTGCTCTTTTTTTTTAATTTCATTATTTTTTTAAATCTGTATTTGTATTTTGGTTATTTCATTTCCAAATATAAATAAAGGTACAATATAAGTCTGTCTTTTGTGGAAAATTCTTTATTGCATCCATCAAAACCTTGAGTATAACTGAACTGAAGTTTTAAACAGTCAGGGAAAATAAGCCCATGGATTCGTTGATAAATGTTACTTTTTTTTAAAGTAATGTCTTAATAACCCTAAGGAATGTTTTATAAAAAGTTGTAAAGACCCCCAAAAACAAACATTTGTTGATTTGTTTGTTTTCAAAGCTTTCTATGTATATCTATCCCCCAAAAGAATAAGATGATAATAAACCTAAAGAATGCTTTAGGTTTATTATTAAGCCTCCTATACTACAACCTCTTACAATAGTAGACAACACAGAATCAACAATAGAGACCTTCAAGTTTCTAGGTTCCATCATATCGCAAGACTTAAAATGGACACCTAACATCAAAAAAGTCATCGAAAAAGCACAACAAAGAATGTTCTTTTTGCGCCAACTCAGAAAGCTTAGACTGCCCAAGGAGCTGCTGATCCCGTTCTACAGAGGAAGTATGGAGTCTGTCATCTGCACCTCTATAACTGTCTGGTTTGACTCTGTGACCAAACAAGACAGACACAGACTTCAACGGAGAATTAGAAGTGAGCAAAAACAATTGCTATCAGGCTGCCTTCCATTGAGCACCTGTATACTGCACGAGTCAAAAAGAGGACTGTGAAAATATCTACAGACTCCTCACATCATGGGCATAAATTGTTTCATCTTCTACCCTCAAAAGGATGTTATAGGGCATTGCAGACCAGAGAAACTAGACACAAGGACATTTTCCACCCCACCCCAACCCCCACATGCCATCACTCTGCTAAACAACTTGTTGGAAGAAATATCCATCTGGTTCAGTTCCAAGTGGGGAGAAAGACACTGGAAACACGGAGGCTGATTGGAAAGATGGTTTATAGATGAAGCAGAACCACTTGTGATTCTGGGCAGCTGACAAAATGGAGTTGGGAGTAGGTGGGGTTTTATATCTTCTTTGAGCTTTGTATTTGAGCTTCCTGTTCCTGTGCAAGAACATGTCCTTTAATTTTCTATTGGCTGTTGTCAGATTCCTATGGGGTCATGTAGGGGTTATGTTGGGGTCATAGCTGGCTCTATAGGCAAAAGAGGAACTGCAAATCTTAGGTGCTTGTCTGAGCTAATCTGGTCAACCTCTGGCTTATTGTTTATCTGAGCTCCCAGGTGAAGATTGGACTGCTCTGAGATGGTGCAATGAAGGGACTTGTCTTCTGAAAGGGTGTTGGGGAATTCCTATTGTGCCTAATGACTTTTGTCCTGTGTTGGATCTTGGGTGAGGAGCTGCTTCTAATCCTATCACTCTGCCTTTGTTAGCTGTCAAACTTTGCTGCAAGGAGTTTTGAAATATTCTGTCTCAAATAAATTTGTGCCTGCAGTAATTGCTTTGCTTATGAATAGAGGCATCTAAATAGTTGGGTTGTTCTTTCAATAAGCTGTAAAGTACTGGCATCTGCTGTGGGCCATTAAGAAAGACTTGGGGGGCTGCTTCTTGCCTCTAATAAACATGTTTCTCCATTTCTCATTTAGGGAAATATAAAATTCTGCCTTTTTAATATTCCCGAAAATATTTCATTCTTCTTGGTTGGGGGGGTAGGTGCTAATTCCCACAACACTGTTAAACTATTTATTAAAGCTGTATTTTTATTGTTGTTGTTGTTGTTGTTGTTGTTATTATTATTATTATTATTATTTATTGGTTAATCTTTAGTGAGATTCACAGCCTTTGAGGCTGGTTAATAGCTCAGCAGCTCGAGTCCTAACCAAGGACCTACGAACTGTTAAGGTATCGTCGGAGGATGTAAGCTGTTCCGAGTAAGGTGATTTTTTGTAGAGTCAAAATGTTCAAGTCTGGCAAATTTAGAATTTCTAAATATTATTATTATTATTATTATTATTATTATTATTATTATTATTATTATTATTATTATTATTATTTATTGGTTAATCTTTAGTGAGATTCACAGCCTTTGAGGCTGGTTAATAGCTCAGCAGCTCGAGTCCTAACCAAGGACCTACGAACTGTTAAGGTATCGTCGGAGGATGTAAGCTGTTCCGAGTAAGGTGGTTTTTTGTAGAGTCAAAATGTTCAAGTCCGGCAAATTTAGAATTTCTAAATATTATTATTATTATTATTATTATTATTATTATTATTATTATTATTATTATTATTTATTGGTTAATCTTTAGTGAGATTCACAGCCTTTGAGGCTGGTTAATAGCTCAGCAGCTCGAGTCCTAACCAAGGACCTACGAACTGTTAAGGTATCGTCGGAGGATGTAAGCTGTTCCGAGTAAGGTGGTTTTTTTTTTTTTTTTTATTGAAAAGTTTTACAAAAAGTTTACATATTTCCCCCCCCTTCCCTACCTCAACCTCCCCCCTCCCCCCTCCCCTTCCCAGAACAAATTACAGGATATAAACTTCAACAATCATAATCAATCCTAATCTAAACAATTATGACATTTCACATCTCTTGTTTCTTCAATTCCCTAATTACCCGCCTAGGTTTATTACTTAAAGACACACTAAATATCTATATAATCATTCATAACCTATCTGCAATTTCTTATTCCGATATTTATTTTGAATATAATCTATCCACCTTCTCCAATCTCTTAAATATCTTTCATTTGAATGATCCTTCAGGTACGCCGAGATTTTTGCCATTTCCGCTAGATTTATAACTTTCATTGTCCACTCTTGGATTGTAGGTAAATCTTGCTTCTTCCAATATTGTGCCACCAACAGTCTTGCTGCAGTTATTAAATTCAAAATCAATTTAGTCTCTATAACTGTACAATCCGTAACTATACCCAGAAGAAACAACTGTGGTGTAAATTTCAACCTCTTTTTAAGAATATTTTGTAAAATCCACCAGATTTTAATCCAAAACGCTTTAACCTTTTTACATGTCCACCAAATGTGAAAATAAGTAGCATCCTCACAATTACATCTCCAACATTTTGGTTGTACATTCGGATACATATGAGATAACTTTTTTGGATCTAGATGCCATCTATAAAACATTTTATAAAAGTTCTCCCTTAAATTTTGCGCTTTGGTAAATTTCACATTTGTTACCCATATTTTCTCCCACGTTTCCATCATTATTGGCTGTTCAAAATTCTGCGCCCATTTTATCATACAGTCCTTAACTAGCTCTGTTTCCGAGTCCATCTCTATCAGTATATTATACAATCTTTTTATATGCATTGGGCTTTGATCTCTAATTTGTTTAATTAAATTTTCATCACTTTGTATAACACCAGTTTTCTGGTCTTTTCTCCATCTGGCTTGTAATTGTACATATTGAAACCATGTTTGAATTATTTTCTCCTCTTTCAACACATTCACAGATTTTAATTTTAATATACCTCCCTCCATAATGAGAATATCTTTATACGTAATTACATCCTGTCTACATTCTATACTCGTATTCTCTATTGCGTGCCTGGGTGCTGTCCATATAGGTATTTTTTCATTTAACTTATATTGATATTTCTTCCAGACACGCAATAAAGCATTTCTCAGTATATGACTCTTAAATGCTCTGTCCACCCTTTTTTCATACACTAAATAAGCATGCCAACCATAGACCAGATCATACCCTTCAATATTCAATATCCTTCCATTTGTTAAATTAATCCAATCACTAATTGCTGATAAAACAGCTGCTTCATAGTACAATTTTAAATTTGGCATTTTCAGTCCTCCTCTTTCTCGTATGTCCTGCATTATTTTCAATTTTATCCTTGGTTTCTTACCTTGCCATACGAACTTATTAATACCTTTCTGCCACTCTTCCAGGTTGGCATCCTTTTTTAGTATTGGTATCATTTGAAAGAGGAACAAAAACCTAGGCAACACATTCATTTTTATAACTGCTATTCTACCCAACAAGGACAATTGTAGTTTTTTCCAATTATCCATTTCAACTTGTATTTTATGCCATATCAATTCATAATTATACTTATACAGTTTACCATTAGAAGATGCAATATAAACTCCTAAATACTTGACTTTTTTAACTATTTCACTTCCCGTTACCCTTTGTAACTCCTCTTTTTGATTAGCTGTCATATTTTTAACTATCATCTTTGTTTTTCCAATGTTTATCTTAAACCCAGATACTTGACCATACTGTTTTATTATATCAATCAAAACCTTTGCTGATTCCACTGGATGAGTTAAGGTCATAACCAAATCATCTCCAAATGCCCGTATCTTATATTCATAATCTCTAACTTTGATTCCCTTTATCCCATCTGCATTACGTATTTTATTTAACAGCAACTCCAAAGTTAATATAAATAATAATGGCGATAAGGGACATCCCTGCCTCGTGCCTTTTTCAATTTTAAAAGTTTCTGTCAAACTGCCATTAATAATTATCTGAGCTGTCTGTTCCTGATATATTGCTTTTATAGACTGCATAAAGCAATTCCCAAATTGCATCCTATTGACCACTCTCAATAAAAATTGCCAATCTAATCGATCAAAAGCTTTTTCCGCATCCAGAAATATAAGCACCGCAGGGATTTGGTTATTCCTTTCCAAATGTTCCAATATGTCAACAATTTGTCTTACATTATTTTTCATTTGTCTACCTTGTATAAAACCAGTTTGGTTAGCATGAATCGTCTTCTGCATTACTAGCATTAACCTATTTGCCAATATCTTAGCAAATATTTTATAATCTGTATTCAATAAGGATATAGGTCTATAATTTTTGGGTTGTGTCAAATCTTGATCTTCTTTTGGAATTAACGAAATAAAAGCTGTTTTCCATGAAGGTGGTACCCCTTCACCCAGCTGAATTCTATTGAATAATTCTTTAAGAGGTAAAACCATCTCCAATTGTAAATATTTATAGTACACAGCTGTTAATCCATCCGTACCAGGAGCCTTACCAGTTTTTAACTGTTTAATTGTTGAGAGGATCTCCTCCTCTGTTATTAATTGGTTTAACCGTTCTCTTTGT